AAACATTATGAGTTTTTCCAATTAAGATGAGATGTTAGAGGTAAACGTGGTTTTAGTACCATACAAAAATACCGAACAACTCTTAGACAATTGGCATACAGTATAGCCGTAGACGCATCCATATGAGTATTTGAAAATGTATGAGAGGACGGGTCGAGAATGTGTCTATCTTTTTTGTGAGTATGTTATAGAGCTTTACGGTGACATATATTTGCGGCATACGACTAGGAGTGATGACGAACAATTGTATGCCGCACATGAAGCTAAACATGGTTTTACATGAATGCTTGGTAGCCTTGATTGTACACACTGGAAGTGGGAAAATTGTCCCAATGCATGGCAAGGTTAATTCACGTGAGGTGATCATGGTGTGCCGACGTTATACTAGAGACAATTGTTTCACAGGACCTATGGTTTTGGCATGTATTCTTTGGTATGGCAGGGTCAAACAACGACCTGAATGTGTTTGGAGCGTCTCTGCTATTTAATGACATTTTGCAGGGTAAAGCACCAAACATGTCATACCATGTGAATAGACATCAATATAATTATGGGTATTACCTTGGTGATAGGATATATCCAGAGTAGGCTATGTTTGTCAAGTCATAATCATATTTGGCCGATGTAAAACGAATTTTGTTCAAGTTATCACAAGAATTGACAATGAAGGATGTGGAACGGGCTTTTAGGGTCCTCAAACAAAAGTGACACATAATCAAACATCCAACACGAGCATGGGATAGGGCAAAATTGACGAAGGTGTTGACAACTTTTGTTATTTTACATAACATGATAATAGAAGAAGATGATGGGGCAGTTTGTATGTATAGTCCAAACGACATACTTCATCCACCAGTAGTAATACAAGTCGGCAGCCCGACATACTTCACAAGACTATTGAAAATGCAAAGCAGTGAAACACATTATAATCTATGCCACGATTTGACTGAACACATATGGAAAAGGCAATTCAAAGGGTAAACTGAAAATGACAAGGAGGAGGATGAGGACTCTGACGATGAAAACACGGTCGATGACGACGAGGAGGATGAGAACAACAACGACTGCGAGTAGTATTTTCTATGTTTTTTTTATTAATTTATGTTTTAAATTTTTATGTTTTTTTAAGTAATTTAGTATTTAAATTTGTTTTTTTAATTAATGTAAAATATTTATTTATGTTTTAAATTATATTTTTTATTTAGTCTAATGTAACAATTTCGAATGGCTAATGGTTTGGTAGTAAAATTGTAGTGGAACCGACGTGACGCTGAATTAACAACATTTTGCTAATGGGATGGTGGTTACCATACCCCTTATCCTAAGACTATCCCCATTAGCTATACAATCCAACCCAAATTTTTTATTAAAAATATATTTTTTTTTTCCATTTATTCGGTCCAAATCCAACAAAATTTTCACCCCCATTAGCAACCAAACTATTTATTATAAATAAAGAATTAACATGAAATATGAATTATACCGATATTATACTTTATTTAAATAGTACTTTTTTTGTTTACAAAATTTAGTATTTTCTATTAATTTTATTGAGATAATATTTGATGTCAAATTACAAATCAACTAAAACATAAGATATGACATAAAAGAAAAAGAAAAGAAATTGAATGAACATATGTGTGAGTTGGGTTGTGGTGGTGGCTAGTTCACCATTAATCATTAATTTTTATTTTTTTTATTTTAAAAAATAACAAGCAGCTCACTTAAAACCCGCAATGGGTAGCGTTAACGCCTCTTTTGTATTTTTTTTTGGGGGAAATTGAGTAATCTAACCTTTATAACCGACCACTTTAACAAAAAAAACCAACATTTTTTTTGGTAAAATAACCACTTGCTCCGGAGCATAGCATTCCAGAGTTGTGGTCTCCGTTCCGGAGTACCTATTATGGAGCTCCGACTTCGGATGATAACCTCAGTTTTTTTCGTCACCTATATATATATATATATATATATATATATATATATATATATATGTGTGTGTGTGTGTGTGTGTGTGTGTGTGTGTGTGTGTGTGTGTGTGTGTGTGTGTGTGTGCGCGCGCGCGCTTAGAACCTTACCTTCAACCAAGTAATTCGTAATTATCTCTTATAAAATTGCTTCAAAATGAGTTTCTTAGAGAGTCAGCACGAAGAAAGTTTTAACAACTTGTCTGTTTACCTTCACAACCTTAGCGAACTAACCCGCATACTTACACCTACATCAGAATTGATTTGATGGATCGTTTCGAAGTTCTTTTGTGGCTATTGGATGGGTGATATATTTCTTTTTTGAACTTTTCTATTGTTTCTTTAAAATTGGTAATTTTTCTACATCTAAATTAATTCGTTTTTGTACCCAAAAAAATACAGCTCCATGCATTCATAGGATGCTTCTTGCTTGTGATCTTCATAGGTGGTGTCCCTCTTAAAGGGGACTACCTAAAAACAATGTTTGTAGCGGTTGCTATCAACGGGAATAACCATACCCTCTCTATAGCATTTGGTATGGCCATTGAAAATAATCTCTACTGTGTACCTGTTCTTATGAGGTTAAGAGAAGCTCTGAGTCAGGGTAGGGAAGTATCGTTCATAACAAATATGGACGATGTTGTTAGTTCTTGCATAGAGCATGTATTCCCTGATTCTTATCATGGGTATACTTCTAAAAGTGTGTTCAAGTATATGTGCACAAGAGGCGTCTCTAGCAAAACATTACAACCTTTGTTTTGGATGGCATCCAACTCATATACTGTGTCTCATTTTTAAGAAAACTTTCGTCGGCTGATCCCTGATGCTCGTTAAGTGTTTGCCAACATCGGTAATGCTAAATGGGCAAGTGCCTATTTCCCTAACATCCGTTGGAATGTAGTCAACATTGATGTTCCCCAAAAAAAATTGTGTTATCGGTAAATCAACACAATGTACCAATAATAATGCTTACCGAGGCAATTCGTGACTACATTTAACAGACTTTCAATGAACGCACATTAATGGTAGGTAAAATATCGGGTGAAATATTAAATTTATTTAATTACTCGTACAAGAACCTTATTTGATCGTATTTACTTTTCAGAGAGTTTGACTACCATACTCACCCCATATGTTAAAATGATGCTTCATAAAAGGATGCAAAAGTCTGTTCGGTGACAAGCAACAAAGATTATGTCTCCCTCCCATCCGACATTTATCGAGTTTGTTAAAAAAACTTGTGTTGTTGATCTGAACCTTCATACATGTTCATGTGGGAAATGATGCAGTCTGGGTATAGCGTGCAGTCATGCTATTGCGACATCACGTCATTCGAACATCCATGAATAACCTGATATGGTTAAGATATATTACCGGGCTAATGTGTTTCAGACTACCTACCAGACACAAACCGTGCCCCTTCTTCCCCCTCCATCAGAATGGGAAATATCAGACCCTTTGATTGCAGTTATAATTGCTAATGTAATTGCAATTAATTATGTTTGTAATTGATTTGCAGTGTGTAATGAAAAATATTATTATTGCCCTAATATTTGTTACATGTTACAAATATAGAAAAAAAACATAATTTACAAGTACCATAGTAATACTAACAAACAAGCAAACATTACATATTATAAAGATTAATAAGCGCTACAAAAGAGAAACTCAGTTGATGAACATAAGTTTACAACTTCTACACAACGATTCCAAAAAAGAAAATTCAATTACAAATTAACGCTATCTTCAAGTGCATATTTTGGGTTTCAAGTTTTTTCTTCGATCGAAATAAGTTATTGATTATTAACGAACTATTCTCTTTTGCTTTGTCAACCCAATAGATAAATTGAGACTGTGGTCCATGAAAATTTAAGATGAAACAGATGACCATGAAAATTTAAGATGAAACACATGACGTATGTGTAAAACTTCATGATTGATCGTATGAGTTACTGTTACATTGAAGAAAGCTATTATATCTACATGATGACTAACTGTGGTAAAGGAAATTAACTAACAAGCTAACAAAAATCTAACTTGTATCTAAATAAATCATGTGATAAATATCAACATCCTTTCTTTACGTTACGTTGAACTTTGATGAATATCATCAATGTTTAACTTGGATAGTTGGATTATAAGACCATCAATGTTTAACTTGGATAGTTGGATTATAAGACCATGGAACAGAGGATTACATAATTCTTTCGTAAACACGTATGCAAGTTCTTGCTTTGTGGAAATGGGCTTTGGTTTGAAGGTTCAAAGCTCTAACAATGGTGAAATTTGATTTTGAGAATCCACGCATGAAATCGACATTAGTTTTGACTTAGCTCACCATTGTTTCATAACTACACTTAAGAATCTAATTTTAGGATTTCAAGTTTGACTTAGGGTATCAATTGTGATTAAAACTCTACTCATAACTTTACTTTTGATCTATTGAAACTCATAGAATTGTCACAAACACAATTCACTTTACTTTTGATCTATTGAAACTTAGTTATGCTTTTGTTGCTCAAATCATTGGATCATCACACTTCAAGTGGTAGGTTAAAAGATTGGAAACTTAAAAATAATGAAATTACTTAAACAAAAAATAGATAAATGGATTAGATCTTACTAAAATTGAAATAAAATAAATCAGTTCTTCTACTTTAAGACGTAGAATTTGTCGTGGATGCAGTAGTCATCATCACGTTTTTTACAAATAACACTTCATCGTTTCAAATTAAACACATGAATAATGTCTTTAAACAAATAGAAAAATCAATTGCTTGAAATTAGGACAAAATCGTTTAGACGTTTATACGATACGAAAAAAACACTGCATACAGATTTAAAATTTTCAGAATTCAAAGTATAAAGAAACGATATGGAGATTCATAACATCAATCACTATCCGTTACAAAAGTCAAATGAAGACAGTTTAAAAACATAAATCCTACGTAATCATCACGAGATATGACGATCTAACCCTAGCCTAAAACACCAAATCATTGATACAAACGATTAACAAAGACTACCAATCACTCAAGAGCTTGTGAATTTGGTCACGGCCTTAGTGCCCTCAGACACCGCATGTTTGGCCAATTCACCGGGAAGTACAAGTCTTACAGCAGTTTGGATCTCTCTGGATGTGATCGTAGGCTTCTTGTTGTACCTTGCGAGCTTGGAACTCTCCTGCGCCAATTTCTCGAAAATATCGTTGATGAAACTGTTCATGATTCCCATCGCTTTGCTGGAGATACCGATGTCGGGGTGAACCTGCTTCAAAACCTTGAAGATGTAGATCTTGTACGTCTCAACGCTCTTCTTGTTTCTCTTCCTCTTCTTGTCTCCGGCCGCAGCGCCGGCCTCCTTGGGCAGTTTCTTTCCGGCCTTTGGCTTCTTCTCTGCCGGTGCTTTCTCAGCGGCGGGGGTTTTCTTCTCCTCCGCTGGCTTCTTCTCGGCGGGCTTCTTCTCTGCCTTTGGCGCCATGGAAATTAAAATTCCGGGAAGGATTTAAAATCGAGTTTTTAGGGTTTGAAAGTTGGGAGAAAATGAGAAATGCTGTGGATTGTTGCGGAGAGATTCAAGTTTCGGAGAGATATTATATAGGAAAGGTGAGTGGCTTCTTATTGGTTGGATAACTTTCACACGGATTAGCGACGTGGCGAAAAATACGCTCGTTAGATGAGTCCTATGAACTGCAAAACTAATGGATGGCCGTGATTAAAATTTATCTTTTGGGGATCTGAAATAAGGCGGTCTTTCCATTTTTTATGTTTAATTTAAATTCACTCCGCTTCTTTTCAACTTGATATGGAAATGTATTTTTAAGAAAGAAATAAGTCGGTCTATCTTTGATTTTATGTTTTTAAGAAAGAATTAAACCGGTTATCCTTTCCTTAGTTTAAGACCGGATTCACATGAATGTTCTTCCAATTTATTCAAACTCAGACTCTAAAACCAACTTGTAACATCCATAAAAATCATGTCAATTTAAAACTTTTTCAACCATTCAAAAATCATTAATTTATTACAAAAATGTTTTCAATATAGTTTCATGTCAGAGTATCCCAGAAATCAAAATCATAAAATATGAGGAGGTGCACGATCACGTCTCCGTCTTCCCGCGATCGTCTGAAGTACCTGAAACAAAATCAACAACTGTAAGTCTGAAGCTTAGTGAGTTTCCCCAAAATACTAACGTCATACAAACCATAACAATATCATACAAACAACATGCATATATAGAGTCTACAGTACGACTAGTCCGTCCTCACCGAGCCTTCAGTCTACCTGGTCCACTCTCAGAGTCTTCAGTATGATTGGACCACCCGCCTTCAGTCTATCTGGCCCACTCTCAGAACCTGCAGCATGTCTGGTCCGCCTTTTCGGGCCTTCAGCCTGTCTGGATTGTTCTCCGGGCTTTCGGTCTGACTAGTACGCCCTACCGGGTTTGCAGTCTATCCGGGCCGCCCTAGATATGTTGGCCTAGAGCACAAAGCAGGACCGCCTCAACCCACCCCCAATCATACAATCAACACATAAATATCATATGCTAGCTAGCATGTACACGTAGTCATACAGATCTAACGGATCACTAATCATAGCATCATACTATATACCAGGATACCGATCTAACATATCACTAACATAGCATCATCCTATAACCAGGATATAGATCTCACAGATCCCTAACATAACATCATCCTATAACTAGGATACATATCTAACAGATCACTAACATAACATCATCCTATAACCAGGATACAATCCAAAAAGGATCGGCCTTGGTGCCTTAGACCCTGTTGATATAGTGAGAAGAACTCACCTCGCGAGTAGCACTCGATGATAATGTCAAAATCCTAAACACGTCTCCAAGCTCAAACACCTACAATCATCATAGGACCAATTCTATCAAGACCCAATTTACCAAAGTACCCTCAGAAGTCAAACTTGGTCAACCCTTGGTCAAAGTCAAAGTCAACGATCAAGGTCAGCCGTCTATATTGACCCAACTCGTCGAGTTTATCTACCGACTCGTCGAGTTCCATCAGAACTCAGAGACCGAAAACTCGAGTCAACTCGCCGAGTTACCAAACAACTCGTCGAGTCCATGTAGTGTCTAGAGGGTTCGGGAAAACCCTAACCAACTCATCGAGTTGGCTATACAACTCGTCGAGTTCCTTCAACCCTTTTCTCATTCAGATGCTTTTAAGCGAAACCAAGGCTCCAAACTGTAGATCTAGCCTCCTATGGTGCAGATACCACGTAAAGTTGCTAACTTTACGTGCATGCAAGGCTTCAAGAGGCTAAATCCGGCGACACCCGAAGGTCACCCGCAACCCCCATCGGTCTTCACTTGCGTTGGCAGCATCGGCGGCGGTATCAGACTCGACGGAGGGGGATAGAGAGGCTGAGATGATGGCGGCCGGAGGGGAAGAGAGAGTGGGGTGTCGGCTGAAGTGAGTGTCCGATTTTATTAGGGTTTCGGGAATGAAAGGGTTATAAACCCCGTCCATATTCAACCCTTTTGCCATAAATACGCTTCCAGTCCCTCCTTCCCTAATTCATTCAAATTAAGCCCCAAATTTTCAATCTAAACCCTCCCTTCTGAAAATCATTACATATCAAGTCCAAAAAATGTTACTAATCAGCCCCTCCCCTACAAAACCTTTTCATCTTGGGTCCAAAATTTACATTTTAACCCCCATTTCCAGATTTTAATACATTCGAGTCCCGATAACAACCACTCATATCAACTTACTATCACTTAAAAGCTAAATTAAAATAATATAAAATACATCTCGGGGTTTCACGGCCATTATTATTTATATTATTCGTTTATTTATTTTATTAAATAAACAGGGTGTTACAACTCTCGCCCACTTAAATTAGATTTCGTCCTCGAAATCATTCCTTATCTTTCCTTACACACCCAACCACTCTAGTCGCATGGTCACCATCCTGGGCACACCCTAGCCTTCCCAGTGTAGCCGTGACCAACCCTCGCAGGTTTCTAAAACCTGGAAATAAACGAATCCCTTGCAATATGATCACATGTACTCAATCCGAAATCTGAAGTCTTGAGATGGAATTCATTGCACTTAATTCCCAATTGGCTACTCAACTGCTAATAATCTGGGATCCCCACCCGATAATAGAATCACAAATCCCACACTGCTACCTGTAATTCTCTTCTTGATAAGAGATTAGGTACTCATTCAAAAGAAATTCATCTTGATAACCAATTCCTAGTGATATAATGAACAACGGGATGTAAACTGGGAGATGAACCCTTTTTGGATCAACATGCCAATGTTTCCTTTAGTTCCCGAACCACATACCTAAAATAACCGGCTCGTAAGCACGAACACTCATACCTGGTTCAATCAGCCTCGGGTTGGAATACCAGGCATGCCTACGACGGGTCCAGTCATCCTCGGGATGGAATACCCTCGATCTGAATACCACTATATACGAAACTCGAGTTTAACTCACAACTTGAAGTTCAGGGACCTACCCTTGTATTTCGTACTAAATCTTTTGATTCCTCGCAGCCGATTACGGCTCGCTCAAACCTCAACAATGTGTCCATTCCGAAAGTGCTCCAACATATGAATGAACTACTAAGATCACTAGGCCCACAGCCTATGACTGGAATACCCCCACGAGGTCCTCGGCATAGGTCTGGATTGCCTCTGAGCCCACAACATGAGTCTGGTATGCCCCACCTAGCCCTCAGCTCATGACTGGAATGTTCCTGATAACGATCAACCTTATCCAAAAGAAAAGGCCTGACCAACATCCTTTACAACACCAGCCTGCACCACAATGTTGGAATCCTACTATGCACGATCCACCTATAAAAAAAGTTGCTTACCCAAGCAAAACCCTGCAACCTTGGTTGCACACGACCCTAGAATAGCATGATAACCGAACTCTGAATCCAATTGCGAACTACATCCCAAACTTGATCAAGCACGAAAGTCGAACCAAACCTATTGTCACCTTGTATACCCGTCGTTGCACATGAAGACTCACTACCATGTACATAATTGGGAATCCCTAACTCCACATTCACTCGCCACAAAGCCCATACTGGATCGAGACTGATCCGGTTCTACTAATACCAGAGCTAGTCCAAGAAACTTCCACAATTATTCTCAAGGTTACCCAAAATCTGAGTCCGATAAGAATCAAAAGTCTATTCTACTACTGAGGGGAAACATACCCCAAAGACTTAGGAAATGTAAGCACACTGCACAAGTAAATTGTTGACGCGTTCCTAGCTCCTCAACTGTCGCCTCTTGAATTTCCTTCGGAGAATTTCCCGCTTTCTGGGAGGTTCACCGATTAACGTCTGTCCGACCCTTCTTGAAACCGCAATCTGATCACCAACAGACAAAACTTTTAATGGCTGACGCTCAACCTGAAAATTCCTAATTCTGCTATCAAGCACCGAGATGACACGATTCACATGCTGGGGAGTTTTACCGAACTCCCAACTCACACAAACCTCAAACCAATCAGCCAATTGGGTTGTCTTCCTTCCTGACAACGATGCGAAACTTATCCCACTTTCAAAACTGCTTCTGCTTCTGAATCTCATGATAGTTCTCCCCCACTTAGAACACTAACCACACCCACTGGTGTGGAATCCGACATAACCTAGCCGACACTCCCTGATGCTTGAATGATCCCACACCCAAATCTTGAAGTCCAAAGGTAGATGCTCTACTAATACTTCAGCAACAAGCGATTTCCCTTGGCGCTCTCATCCGCCAATCACTAACGATTACTAACACCACTGAACCCTGACAATGCCGAATAACCATCCTATGGGACTCTGTCTGCAACCTCCCACATAATACCCTTCTTCCCAAGTGCTCCAAACAAATCTCTTGCTTTAGAGCTTTAGAAATCATATCATTTAGGGTCTCGCACCCTGACTCACTTACCAGCTCAATCGTCCATAACTGAACTGCAGTAACTGAAGCAACCTCTGCTCTAACCGGGCTGCAAACTACTCCCATAACTTAGTCTCTAATCCTGAAGTGCAATAGACCGCACAATCAATCCTTACCACCCGATACAAGAGATTAAAGGCGAACCGAACCTTACAAAATACTTATGCCATATCGACCCACCTGCGCTTACCAGCGCTAAAATACTGTCGCCAACCCCTGTGACTAACTGACCCGAGCTGGAATACAACCTGATCCTGGGTCACAAGCCTGCTCAATCCTTTGAACTCGTAAACTGAAAGGGCACAATCCTTGCCTTGGAAAACAACATTCCAATCCTATCAATTAACCATTCTAATTCCAGCTGCATAACTCCAGCTGAACATAATCATTACTCCTTTTCGGAGTCCCCGCGACTCACATTCCGGCCTGGAGCAAACCCCCGAAGCCTCAAATCTAGAAACTCATGTGCTAGACTCTCCCGCTTAACCTGCGGAATGTAACAAGTACAAAACATCTCCCTGA